GCGCGAAAGGCAATGATGCGATGCGGTCTGTCCCTCGGCATCAACGGGACGTGGTCGGTTTCTCAGCTTTACCCGCATCTCCAAGACATCATCAAGAAGCACGAGGCCCATTTTGAAGGCGAGCCTGTTGACACGGAAAACGCGTAGAAATACAGCAAGGTGGTCATTTGCTAACATAGATAAAACATTGGAAAGAACGAAAATTTAGTCTTAGTTGGAGCAGTCGTCTGAGCGACGACCCTCCACGCTGAGGTTTGACGGTTCGAGTCTCACGTTTTGTGTATTTTTTTTTCAAGTCTCACGTTTTGTGTACTTTTTTTGTGACCGGTCGGAATTCATAAATAGTCTTAGCAATTAAATAGTCTGTGTCAGACTATTTAATGTGTATGACCTGAGAAACCATACACACAAAATAGTCTCGGTCAGACTAATTACCGTAGACAGTGTAGCAGTAAAAATATGTTTTTAAAAAAACAGATGGCTACATTTGAAAAACGAGGAAACGTTAAAAACACACGAAGAAATCTGACCAGCACAACAATGCCGGGAAGATTAGAACACAAAAAGACAGAAACAGCACCGGCCATTCGTCCCTTTTAATTGCACAGCGCTTGCCACGTTGACGCTGCAACTGGTACCTGAAGTGTTGCTAAGTAAAGTAACTTTTGTTAAAAGTAAGTAAAGTAGCATTTATTTTGAAAATTCAAAGTTACTTTTGCGATCGTCATGCATCTCATTCGGGAATCACCACCACCGCCCAGGTGTCCAGCGCTCTCAGGTGCTCCAGAACTCCAGGTGCTATAGAACTCCAGGGACCGCAATGGTAGGGGTTTGCGCCTCGCAGCTCCCCCCAGAGACGTTGCGGCCAGGCGATGTACTAGAGTACTATTCACAAGCCTTTGTGTGTGGTGATCGCCGCGGACATCGGGTGGGGGTCGTCCTGAAGATGTCAGGCACGCGCAACGACCCCTATCTAGTCACGCTGGATACGCAGGAAACACTCCCCATGACGAATATGGTGCGTCGTCGCTTCGACATCGCTGGCACCGCACTGTTCCTGGACAGAGTTCGTTGGCGCAAACTGCGATCCTTTCAACTAGTTCCGGGGGCGTACGAAGCGCCCACACGGGCCATACGCCTTCGTGACGCCCTCAAGGCGCATCTGGACGAATCCTTTGCCTCCATACGAGCGGTGTTGCCTTCCGAGAGCGATGGAACGGCTTCGCGGCTTTCAAAGTCCTTAGTCCATGAAGCAGAGCGCTCCAGCGCGCCCAGAGCGCCCATTCCAGTAACAGAGCGGTTGCAGAGCGACTCCACTAGCTCTGGAGCGTCGGATAGCCAGGTTGTACTCGAGGGTTTGCTTTCATGTACCCTCAGTCAGCCACCACATGTGATAGTTGATCTCACGACCGTCGATAGCGGTAACGACATAAACGGTGACGCTCCGGAGGATGGAGAGGACGGTGGTGAGGATGGAGAAGGTGCTGCGGTGGACGGAGAGGACAATAGCACCTCGACTGACGTGCCACTGTCTCCTCCTTGGTCGCGCAACAAGTTGCGGCGGATGGAGTCCATTGTGGAGGCCGAGGTGACGGACGCCGAGCTGCGGGCGGCGACGGGGTTTGTAGAGACCGTGCCAACGCGATGGCAGCGCCAAAAGCGGCGCCACCAGAAAAAGGTAAAGGCTGGAGAGTGGACCCAGCCACGATCCCGCAAACGGCGCCATCAACGACTCTGCGGTGTGACCCGAAGCGGATCACACATCTACCACGTGCATTCAACAAAGACTAAGAAGTTCAAGGCCACCCTACGTATTCCGGGTCTGCGCAAGCGGCTTCGAGAGCTCCATCAACGTCGCTCCACCTATGAAGAGCCACCTACATCTGGCTACTTCTTGCCCATTGAGGTGCAGTGGCCCGAGAACGTCATGAGGATTGAAGAGTGCAGCAATCCGGAGAATGTGAAGTTCCCAGACATCGGTGACTTCGGCCGGTGTTCCTGTACAGGTGATTGCTTCATGGACACGTGCGAAAACACTGACAGCGCATTGTACTGCACCCCGACCTCATGTAATTTGGATGGTAAGTGCAGCAATGCTCCCAAGACGTTACAGACCCTGAAGTTGTTCGACACGGGTCGTGTCGGGACCGGCGTCTTCACCACCACGGACTTGTGTGTCGGCGATGTAATTGGAGAGTACGCAGGCGAGCTCAGCGCGTACGATCCGATCATAACTGGAATGCCAGGGCAAAAATGAAGCAGAATACTGGATACACAATGTTGTTGAACGCGAAGTCGCGCAATAAAAAGTACGTGTACTTGGAGGCTCACAAGTGCGGCTCAATCACTCGTTATAACAGCCATTCATGTACGCCGAACGCGACTTTCGTAGAGCTCTAGAACCGAGCCAATGTCAAAGTGCTCGTGCGGATGATTGAGAGTGTACATGCAGGCGCTCAAATTACGGTGAATTACGGGAACCAGACGTGGTTTAACTGTGCCTGCGATCAGTGCTGGTCGGAGGAAGATGGCAGCAACTAAACTAGATGAGTACAAACCCTCGAGTAGGCAGTGTAGTAGGAATCTTCGATAGCATATTGTTGACCTCAGAGAAAGTAAATACAACGTTTAGGCAGTTCTGACAAGGGAAACACGATTTACACGGGGGTATTTCTGTTAGGATAAAGCGAGTGAAACTTTTTCCTCGGGTTAACTAGTTGCTATCTGGATAAATGCGCACGCTGCACTACCCACTGCTACGTAAATCTCGATTGTGATTTTTCTGGAGCATTTCTAGCAAACCCTCGGGTATATCCTTTGCCCGTGACCCTTGTTAGCCTTATACAACGCTCCGCACGTCCGGAGTCCACGTAAAGCTTGTGCTGGAGCCTCTAGAAAGTAAGCGCAGGCCCAACTTACAGCGGTCTGCCATCTGAAGAGTCGCCACCTCGCTTCCGCTTGTTGCGGTTTACGAAGACGTTCCTTCCGCTGCTGTCGACATGCTGGGTGGCCTTCAGGGCGTATAAGACATGGACACAAACGCCAAACGCATAGCAATAGCTACAAGGACACCAACGACTCGTGATATCCACTGGCCAGCCACCCCACGGACACCAGAGTGTGCCCTCCAGCATACGCAGGCTGGCATTCTACCCTGTTCCACACCCCAATCAACCTTTCCTTCATCAATTCGGAGACCCTTTGCGTGAGGTTTGCTGGCACTGCTATGACAAAACTGATTTTCCTCGTGGCGGAGGATAGATCGTGGGTACAAGCTGCCAGTTCTTGTACTAGAGTGCCCATCTTCAGTCGTCTTCTCAGTGTGTAGTCCCGCTTCAGTAGAGCATTAAATGTCTCCGACGGGTTATTCGTTGCAGCAAAGCCCGACGGGGTCAGGTACCGCTGCCACTTTGAAAAAGGTCCATAGAGCCACTGGTCTCTCATATAGTGAGCGAAACCCACTAAAAACGGATTCTGCATCCACACCAATAAAAAGCGGTCCCGAAGTCCGTTGAACTCCATTTCGCTCCGGGCAAAGTGTAAATCATACACGTCTCTTATCAAGGAAGCCGACACAACCGAGGGAAATCCCTTGATAGCCTTCTGGATGTTTTTAATCACATGAAAAAAACACATCAGAAACTGGAAACCCGCGCAGTCAGAAAACACCGTACAGATCGCGACGTACTGTGCCCTGTCAGCGTCCGCCATAACGTTGCGGACCGATAGCTCCCTTCCACTGAGATAGTAGTACTGACGACGTAAAGATAGCAACACCTCCTCAAAAATACAGTGCGTTTCTTGTGACACAATGTATAGAGCCACCAAATGAAAACCCCGGGACCGGTCGGGCACTCCAACAACGACGACTGGGTAGCCACAGTGGTTCATTTTATAAGTAGCGTCAATGTGTAGAATGAAGCTGTCCTCTGGTAAATGTAGCCGCATAGTCATAGTCTTCGCTGATATCCCTAGTACAAAAGGACTTTCGTTCGATCCATTGCCAACTACCGGCCTCCCATCACAATCCAGTCTTCACGCAAAAGTAAAAGGTTGATCCAAGGCCTCAGCGCCCGTGAAAACCCTCGCGTGGACCCAATCCCGCATTTCATCCACTCGGTCGTGGTTCTGCAAGGACGATCGGCTGTAGTGGTTCACGAAGTTCTCGACAACTTGAAGTCCAGGCAAATTCTCCAAAGACGTGTCAAACTTGCGCGCCAGCGCATGTCGGATGCGTTGCGGCCTGAGGTGATGAGCTGCCATCTCCCGGCAGAACGTCTTCTGCGCAGTCGTGAGCTTCTTCTTTCTCTGCGGGGAAGCTAGCAGAGTTGTGTGGACACCCGATTCGTAGATAGACATACGAGATGTAGAGAGACACGTGAGCAGCTTGCCGCGCCACGAACACGCCACTTCCGAGGCCTCGCTGCACGTTTCGGACTTGCACTTCAGAAGACGATAACGCATCTTGTGTGGGTCCACAGCCAATGTGCACACGGTGCACACCAGAGTATTACTCTTGCATATGTCGAACGCCTTCAGGCGCTCGAGGATCGATTTGCCTTCGGCCGCCTCGGAGACGAGCGCCAGCTCGGTCCACAGGATTCGCTTCGGCATTTTTGCGCAACTGAGTGGCAGTTACAGGGTGTGGACTACAAATTTAGTGACAGTTAATTGAATAGAACAAAATGCAAATTGCGATTTGGTCCGCAATGACCTGTCCGCATAAGCTCCTCTGATTGGCTGCTCCATCTTCAATCCGTGCACAGCACCAGAGACGAGGCTCCGCCAAAAACAGCACAGTTATTTGTGCTGGTGCCGTAAAGTAATGTGCTGCCCAGACTTTAATGTGCTGACACAGATTTAAGGTGCCAAAACATAACGTATGGCAAAAGTCACACGTTCTCTTGAAAAACGTTAGTTTCTGAGTCAAAGAATTGGTTTAAAAGTGGGTCAAAATTATCCATAATTGCCAAAAAGCGGAGCCTGATAAATAAGAAAAATCATTCTATTGGCAGTGACACCAGGTTCACCGCTGGGGCGATCACCAACATTTCCCAGCGCAACATGCCCTGCATCATGTCGCTTGCGTTGCGATGTGCGTGATCTGGTCCACAATAATCGGTGCGTCCGCTCCACCGCAGTTGCTGGTATTCTTCGCCCGTGACGGGATTCACCACGTTCAGAAACTCGATCGAAAGCGACAAATGGGCCCACGCCACTTTGTTCCGAACATCCTCTTCTCGTGGATTTCTGGAATAACCTGTGTCAAAGCTCTGCGTCCCAAGGACGTATCCTGTAGCATCCAGCATAAGCTCTTCGGAATCCGAATCCGAAATCAGCATACTGCGGCGGTGTTGACGGAGCGCTCGCATCGATACAGGTAGGCACGGATGTAGCTCTCGACAGTGGGATCTTCTTCCTTGTTTCGATCAAGAAACGTACGAAAACCGACCGAAATGTCGAGATATCTTTGGCAGGAGACATGACGTCTCTAGCCAGCACATAGGCGTTCGGATTCACCTGCTGCAACACCTCTAAGCGACTCGTTTCGCCTTTAACCTTTTTGAATTCGCCCAGGCGCATATCATTTGCCCACGTCTTTTGCATTAACTCCGCAACATTTAATCTGTAAAATTTCTTCGTAGAGACGCATTCCAAAATATTCCCATGCACTCGTTGCACCATATCCCACCCAAAGATCTGCATTCGACTCGTTCTCGCGCCATCGTCGGTATCAAACGACGACGGGACCAGCAGACGACTCTGCACGCGAGAGATTGTGCGAGTGTTGTCCAAGATCACTCGAGTTAGCCCCAAGTCTGTCAGTGGATGGAACCCGAACTCCTCCCTCGCGTCGAAGGGGTCTCGCTCGTCTAATCGCATCCTCAAGACAGCTTCTCCTCCTAACGACGGCTGCTGGAACTGCTGGGCCCATCGAGGTCCATCCACCTCCATGGTGGACTGTAAAATTCTAGATAAATTTATTTTCCACTCCGCTTTCTGCTGAATTTCGTTCTTAAGAAACAAATTCTCAGCTCCAAGTCTCCTCGACAAATCCACCGCTTTGGAATAATCCGAAGTCATCCTCGTGACTAAAGTTCCCTCACGTTCGACTGTTGCACTCTGCGTGGACTGCAAGCTCAATTCCGCGTACTGTTTCTCCAGTCTGGCCACTGTGGCCTTCATGTTGTTGAGCTCATCTCGCTGTCGCTGTCTTGCTCGTCGCATGCAGTCTGTTCTTCTGTCGTCGTCGCTCCATGGCGCTGGGATTCGGTGGGTCGCACTGCATCTGCTCGGTCTTAACGCTCGTCCACGTTAACGGCGGAGACGTGGGCATGGCCATCGCTGGAGCTGCGTGGGAAGCAGCCCATAACGCGTCGAATTGCGCCGGGTTCATTCCGAATTGGAGAGTGGTCGCCAGCTGGTTCCCGTCTTCTCCGTGGATGGGGTTGTTATCTGACTGGAGAGTATGGACCTGAACGGCAGGACTGTGAGCAGGACTGGCGCGTCCATACCAAAATTTATCGGACCGGATGACCTTATCGGACCTGTACCAAAACTAGGGTACGCTAAATAAACCCCCGCAAAATCAATTTATTAGTTTATGGATTAGATATTGTGACCCACACACTAAACATTATTATTTTACAGAAGGCGGGGAGGGAGATGGCGCGATGACGGCGGCGGCACGTGTGACAGGAGGGTGGCGTTGACGGCATGCAGCAGGAGGGTGGCGGCGGCGACAAGAGGGGCAACACCAAGGACAGGAAGGACAACAAAGACGGAAGGAGCGAAGGGGACAACAACAGCGGGCGGATCCTCAAGGGCTGTGGTGGCTTGCCCGGCAGGGCGGGCGGTAGGCTGCCCGTTGGGTGCGTGCCTGCAGGTGGCACTCCGAAGGGCGGACTTCGATGGTATCGTCGAGTCATCCAGCTATCAGCAGCGAGGATGCCGCCGCCAGGCCCCGTGCAGACCCCGCAAGATCTATTTCCCCACCCGGCAGGGCGGGAAGCATGCTGCCGGCCGATAGTCCGCTGGCGACGCACCAAGTCCAGATGCTTGTCCCAGCTGCTGGTCGTGTCGATGAAGAGCTCGATGCTCTCAGTAGTTGCGTGTAGCTAGCGAGCACTAAATAATGTAAAACATGTCCAAGTAATTGATGCAAATTGTCAATGTCTATTTAAAAACGGGTACAATAATAACAATTCGCAATGCACCACCTCACGGAAGCTATTAGAAGTTACAAGTGTAGCTACTGCATCTCGTCAGCACAGAGGCTCTTACTTCCATGCATCATGTCGCCATTTAAGCGCTTTCGAGAAATTGCTACGGTATCAATACAACAAATTTTAAAAGCGCAAATTGAGTCGTTTGTACCGAAATGATTACGCCGGTCGGATAAAATGAAAATATGCGTGTGATACGCCGACATCTTAATATTTGTAAAGAGATACACATATTTTCCGTGCCCCTCGGACCTAATACGTCCGATGTGGAGTTTAGATGACCAACCTAACCCTTGACGGATTGATTGGCCAAGACTGACATAATTTTTGGATATGATTGGTTATCCAAAGCAAATAAATATATGATTGGCCATTAAAACTGATAATAAACCTTAGTGAGGTCCGATAAGTGATGATATTCATCCATACCGGTACCACTTAGCGAATAACTTGGCGTGTGACGCGTCGACAAGCTTCGCAACTCGTCCCACATGACGTCGTCGATGCTGTCGAGGATGGCGTCGTCATCTGCCTCCGACTGCCACGACGACGCCGGGGAGTCCACCACGTCGCGCTTCATGATCGCAACGGGTTTATTGATAGTGAAGAGGAGGCGACGTGTGCCTGGCGACTATGAAGTCTCACATCCGCCGGCAAAGGTCGTGCCGGATTACCGGTATTGACACACCGTAAGCAAATGCGAAAGTGATGGGGGATGGTTCTGGTAATCAGCGTGATAATGCGGCTGTGCTCGAGCTTAGGGAGCTCGAGGTACCCAAATTTAGAAATAGTGTTTTTTTATGTACTCAAAAATGATCCAAAGGTCTCGATGTACTACAGCCTGTAGACCCTCATAGAATTGCAATGTCGTGAGCTGGACCAAGAGAATACGGTATGCCTCGCTCAGGTAGTTACAGCGGAGATGTATTGTTATATATCACGAAGCCATATTACGCCTCAGCTTTGCTAGGCGGTGGCTTAATAAGAGTGATACATCGATCACCCTAAATGAGGCGACAATTGCCCATTCTAGAGCAAGCGTAGGCGTTTTTGAATGCGAGCTAGACCAAAAAATCGTACGCTGACACATGAAAACTTAATCGTGTAGTGTTGAGTTTCGCTGACTTACAAGTAGCCATGGGCCTTTAATAGTGCGCTTCCTAGATTTTTCGGCGGAGCGCCTTAGAATATCCTGCACCGTAGCAAGCATTTATAAAGCGCTTCGCTCTTGTATACCTATAGCTCTGTAGGAAATCTGGAGCTTTCCTTGATTTTCTTTTGTAAATGGTGTTTGTCTTAGAGTTAATGGTGTTTGTCAGGGTTATTCCTTCATCAGCCACAGCAGCACTGGTAGAAGTAGTATTTTCCCGTTCATCCACTAACCTCTATAAAAGAATGGTCTGACCTCTCCAATGACGCAAAGTGCTCATCGACTACGTAACAAATGCTGCATACCCTCATAGACTGCTAAGATACACAAAATACCACAAGAAAGAATAATAGACTACTCTAGCTATCTAAACGGTGTAGGATAATGCGTCCTAAGACACGTCCTAAACTGTCCTATTTGTCCTAAATTTTACAGGGAGATTTTGGAGATGTGTCCTAAAAAGCGACTAATCCTTCGCTACAGAATATTATAATTTGTGTCCTCCAGATTGTCCTAAACCTCAAATATAAACTTTTTCCGGACTATCAACGTAAATTTACGTAAGAGTTACCTAAAACTCACATTGGCTTTACTTATTGTCCTGGGGCACACCAACCATTTCTGAATCTCCACTACTGCAGCCAAGCATCATGGACCATTGCGGCTACTCCTTCTGCAGCTAGGGCGCTTGCCTATCTGGCCTCTGCTGCCACCTGCGGAAGCAGTGTCTTGTCCGCTCTGCTCACGAGCGCGAACATTCAACAGTGCGGCACGGACCACTGAGATCCCGGACCAGGCCACCATTGACAAGATGTGCGCCTCGACTGCCTGCAACACCCTGCTCGCTGACGTGAAGGCCATGAACCTGGAGGAGTGCCAACTGCCGGTCGGTGTCGGTTCCAACCTGAAGGCCGACCTGGTAGTCTACGTGCCGTCCAACTGCCCATCGACGTCGGCTCCCAGCCCGGACTCGCCTGCCACAAACGCACCTGTTGTCGACACCCCGACGACGCCAGACAACTCGACGAACCAGGCCGAGCACACCGCCGCGCTAACCAAGACCCCCATCGCTTGCGAACCGCGTCTTCGGATCGACTTGCAGCCAAGTAGCCCTTGCGAGTACTTTGCTGCTTTTTGAGCCCCCCCCTATGTCGTCACGTTCTGATTATTAACCGTCGTTTGCTATGTGCATGTTGAAGTCGCTTAACCGTTATTAGCGGCTATTATTACCTTCAATGACTATCATCCTTTGAAACACTTTAAAAATATTGTCACACACTTTGTAGTAGAGAAGTTTTGTTGAGGTGCTTTTCGCGCACAGCAAAGAATCGGCTGCTCTTGGAGAGGGGCTTTAAGATGTTTATTGCTTCTAGCTAGGCCAGTTGAGGATATGGCTTGAGGACAGTGCATGTTGGGCTTGGTGTTGTCCTAATAGGACAGTGGTCTGAGTTGCAGTCTGTCCTAATAGGACAGACTGAGTGTCCAGTTGTCGAGTGTCCTATTAGGACACGCGGACCCTGGCTTGTTTCGTCCTAAAACTCATTGTGTTGTCCTAAATATGGGTTTGTTTATGAGCCGAATTGCTAGTTTTTTATCCCAGGTTTTAGGACAATAGGACACTTTAGGACTTCTAGTAGGACGCATTCTCTCCTACCATCTAAACCTACGAAGTGGTCCGTGGACGAGGAGGGGCACTTATGCGGAGAGCAGGTCTGGTATACAGCAATGCCGCAGCATCGAGTCGAAGCGTATTGCATTTTATAGAATAGTCTATGTGACGGGGTCACACAGCACCTTGCGCTAGAGGAAGTTATCTTCCGAGAGTATACAAACTCTCAGTGAACGGCAGTTCACAGGTCCCCTCTTTAATTAAAGAGAGCGAAGTGACCTAAATAAGGTAGATTGTAAACTGAGTATATTTATAGGTAGGTTAAGTTTGAGGTTAATACAAACTATCAGTTACCTATAGAAATGCAATGTCATTTAACCAATGGTTGGTTTTGAATGACCTTGGTACCTTGTACCAAATATCCCGGAGTATGACATGTCATACTCATGAAGTGTAAAGTGTCACACTTCATGTAACCAGGGTACACTTAGTGCTACGTACCCCGTTACATCCTCCCCCACTTAGGTTCGGTTTACCGACCAATCAGAATGAAGAGATGTTCGTCACAAACTCTCATTCTCAAAGTCGAAAACCATCGACTCGGCCGCGCGAGCGCGGCGGAGGCTCACTTTACAGTTAGAGTCTCGAGCAGCAACCTGTGCGCTCTTCGTCAAGGTCTCCACTTCGACCGTTAACATGCCTCGTGGCACTGCTAAGAGCGGTGCTAAGACACGCTCCAAGGCTGCAGCCGGTAAGGCGCAGGCCAAGAGCACTAAGCCTCACGGCAAAGGCTCTGCACTCAAGGAGGCTACTCAGGTGGCCTCCGAGGCGATCGGATCCTCGGGTGACGCGGCTGCGGACAAGCGCGCAAGCAGGCGCCGCAGTCCGTCGCCCTCGTCTTCAGACAATCGTCCGAACCCTCGGTTCGTAGAACGTGAGTTCAACTCGGGCAGTGAGGACGATGCCGAGTCCGAGAGCACTCACGATGCTCCTGCGGGCTCTGTGGGAGGGCACAGCCCAGTGCCCAGTGAGCACAAAGAAGGCAGCGTGCAGTCGTCCGCTAGTGATCACGGTGATCACAGTCCCAGGACCTCTGTGCGCTCTGAGAGTCCGGCCGTTAAGGCTAAGGGCACTCCCAAAGCCGGTGGCGATGAGGAAGGGAGTCCTCGCAAACGTCTCTCGCTTGCCGAGGGTCTTGCGCGCGCTAAGGCCTCTAAAGCCGAAGGCGCCAAGCCCTCAAAGAAGCGTACCGCCTCTAAGTCTCCACTCCGCGAGGAGAAGGAGACTCGACGCTCCTATCAGAGTCTCTTCGGCTCCTCGGATGAAGAGGAGGAGAAGGAGGACGAAGAGGAAGAGGAGGGTGCCATTGTTGAGCCCCGGGAGGTCTCGAATGACCTCGACCAGCAGCAGGAGGATTTCCAAGCTGCCCAGCGTGTGCGTGGGGGTTCGGCGGCGGCACCCGTCAGCCAGGGAGCTGCCATCAACTCAAGAGGGTATTGGCCTCCCGAGGAGAGCTCTGGGGCTGACCTCTTCTTAGAGCTTCTCGTCGCTCCTCGTGGCCTTGTGGGCGGCCACACTTCTAGGGGCATCTATGAACGAGCCTTGTTCAGAAAGAACAGTTGTTCGTCGACAACGTGGAGGCTGCTCGGTGTGTGCTTCTCGCGCCACACCGCATTCCCCTTAAGGACTTCACGACTTGTCGTAAGAAGCCCGAGACCCGGGGTGGTCTCTATCCTGTTTGGGGATACCCCTGGGTTATGCCCGAGAACTGTCCCACATGGAGTTCTTGTGAGGACATGTTCTGGGCGTGGGTGGAGACTCTCAAGTACTCGCCCACGGAGTTATGGGAACTCCATGAAGATCAGCAGCTGTCCCACATCCTGGACCAGCGTGATCTTCGTGTGAGGTTTGCCCACTTGATCAGCAAGCGTATGCTGCCAAGGGACATCCTGAAGCGCGCGGCTTCTAGCGCTCACGATGAGCGCGGGTACGGTATGTATTCATCATCCGTACCCCGTTCGGGCAAGAAGCCCCGGACTACTTATGAAGCTGCCGCCGCTTCTGTTCCCAGATTGCGACAGCCTTCGGGCAGTCAATCAGGAGCCGTTCAATCGGCTCCCACGAGTTCTCGGAGTGG